TAGTAGTGTGAAGTACACAAAATAAATCACTTCACATTCATGGGGCAAAATCTAAAAAACTGAGATGTTCTGCTGTGCAACTACAAGCTAAATTGAATTTCTGGTTGAATCTTAACTCTCTCTTTGACACAATCACATGCAGTGACTCTTGAGGTCACATCAAAATGTCTACATCTGCAGGTTGCAACTGCTGCTGCTACCATCTCTCTATTTTATTTTGGCAGTTTGGCATCTATACAGTCAAATAAAGTTATAACAGCTCCCTCTTGTGACACCTGCTAAAATGTCTGTGCAACTCTCAGTTATGACTTTGTTTTAATATCAGTGGCAGTGATTTTTTTTGTTACACACTGGAGGTGCACATTGGAATGAATGCAATGAATGTGCCACTGCCCGTGGGCTCCTGTTCACACAAGTAATAGCTTTTAGTGAGGGGAAATTGCTTATGAAAGACACTTAGCTTCAGAGACCAAATGTGAGTATGTTAGGTTGTCTGTTTGTTTTTCCAGCTGAACGGCAGCAGCCAGATTAAAGTGCCCGGTCACTACATCTCCTCTCAGATGTTGGCACCTCCTGGACCAGCACCCTCCCTTGGCTCCCCATCCTCCCTCCCCAGGCTGACCCTGCCTGCAGAGTCAAAGGCCACTACCACCTCCTCTGATGGGGGAGCCAACTCCCCGACATCACCCAGTAAGTGTTCCTAATGCTAATATTTACATAAACTCCTGATAGGTTTTAGATCATAATAGTATATTTCATCATCCATGATCCTACAGATGTTTCCTTCCAAAAACAGAAAATGCTGGGATAGAAGTGGAGCAGTCTGTTATCATAAAGCATTTCTTTGCATAAATAATCATGGGGGGTGTTCCAGACTGTCAGTGGGCGTATAGTTATTATCATACAGCTAAAGATAATAGGTTTCTCCTTGATCAACCAATCCCATGAAAAGACCCAACCTGTTCCTACTAGCTATCATTGTCTGTACATACACAGCTTGATATAGTTTCCAGTGTCTCCTCCAACCTAGTAGCAGAGACTAGCTGTCATGTTCTCACATTATGAAGACTAAAGCAACAAATTAATGTTGCTACATCCTGGAATACGTTGTAGTGACATGTACCTGAGAGTAAGTAATCCCTTACATTCTCACAGCCTTAAATTTAGTGACAGATTCTTCAATTCAATTTACATCTAGGAGACACTTACATTAGTAAGATGTCACACTAACGGTACTGGGAATTAGAAAAAGATCAAATAAGATGTATCCTATACCTTTAACTGAATCAACTGCAACACAGCATACGTCAGTCATATCCAAATTTCCCTGACAACAACAAAATGACTCATAATCACCTTGGTTTAAGTTGTGACAAACTTTAGGTTGGCATAGATACAGACAGAGAGAGTGTTAGCAGTTCAGTGGAGATGGTATTGGAGGTGGTGGAAGTGGTCTTATCTTAATACTCACTGTAACATCTGATCAAAAGACCGAAGAGTACAGCAGAGCTGCAGCCCGTAGTGATCTTGTGAGTTCACCGACTGTCAAGTTCAAATTCAAACTTGAAATAAAACAAACAACAACATCCTGCCCTTGCTTCAACAAAGAATTGGAGGTTTTGATAGTGTTTTAAGTGTTTTTTTGTATTTCCACTGTATCTTCAAAACAGGGACATGTGAATATATGTCATTAAAAAGGCAATAAACTGTATCTTATGATTATTATCATGTAGCTTTATTTGACAGTGACTTGCATTTGCAAGCACCATTTGACAATGGAGCCCTATTTCAAGGTCAGCTTAGTAGCTATTCGATTGTACGTTTGGTAATTGAGTGAAGAAAGTGTTTGTGGGACAAGACAATGATGTATGAGGGGGCAAATTATAAAAGGTAGATTTTTTTCACATTGTAAGACCATGAGATGTATATTTGTTGTCCTGCATATTTGAAGGGTTCCAGTTTGCTTTGTTGACCGATTTCTAGTCTTGATTGATTTAATTCGATTTTTTTAAATATAGACATAAACGTACAGAATTTCTCTTGCATATTATATGTTGTATTGCTGAGAAATACTCTGGCCCTCTTTTATTTTTTTACTTGTGCTACTAAATGAGCAGAGGGCTTAGACATGTTGGTTTGACCCGCTCCATACATAAATGGTGGTCACTGTTGTGTTTCTTGTAGACATACTATTATGTTGTGAGTTCGGAGTTAAATGACTAATCACTATAGAAAGCACTGCAATGAATGAACAGATGCAGAACCTGTGAAATTGGAAACACATTACATTAAGGTTCATCAAGTTTCTGCAGTAGAAATGTGTTAATAGTATCAGTTGTGAGAAATATGTTTAACACTTGGCAAATTTGCCAAATCCACAATCTGGAATACCTCTCAGGTTTATTTGGTAGAAAATGAAACCATCATAGACAAAAAAAAGACAAAAAAAATGTGTCCAATATGAGGTCAGATAAGTGTGGGTTAGATCAGACAGCAGAAATCAGTGATTCAGGAGTTTCAAGAGTTTCATGCTGTTGTCTCTTGTCGCTGTTGTCGACAGATTTTTGTCAAATTTGTTAAATGTGCCTCGTGCAACTTTACAAGTTGAGACATAACAAGACTTATGTTGTTAACACAAACACCTTCAGCATACTCGGCCCCCGGGACCCCCCCTGCCAGCCGCTCCTCCTTTGTTGGAGTCACCCCTCGAGACCCAGGTGGACTCTACCAAGCCCAGGTTAGTATGGTTTATTTGACGCTGTCAAGTTGAGTTTGGAGAGGATTCATCGGACTATAGAAAACTTGGATTGTTGGACCGTTAAGCAAGAAAACAAATAAGTTCCCACCTGATCATGATTGATAAGAGAAATAATGTCCGGTTTGTGGTGCTCAAAACCTTGATTATTATACAACAGCAAACAAATGAAGTTGCATCTGAAATATTGCCCCACCCTTTGTGCTGAAGTCAGATGACTAAATATTATTGTTCCTCATGCATCCTCTTTAGACTTTGTAATCTGCTCAGTTTTCTTTGTCTCCAAAAAGTTTCTGAACTCATCCGTGTGAGAGTTTGATGTTTCTTTTACTTTCTGTTCTAAATGCTAAATCTGATGAATAAAATCTAAAAACTATGTGACAATAAAACAGCAGTTGGCACAGACATACATGGCTTATATGTTATGGTACATGGTGATGGTGGGAGGCAGAAACATATGCACAGTATGTGTTGATGAAGAGTAGAGCTTGACCCCTTGTGTTAAGTTTGAATTGTGCCGTTGTTGCTGCATTGCAGTTCCACTGCCCCAGAAACAGCTCCATTAATACTGAGTCAGGACTCCTCTCTCTCTGTCTCTGTGTGTTTCCACAGTTTGTCACAACTAAATGCATTTGGACTAGTAAGGGATATTTTAATGTGATGGGAATCCAGTTGCAGTTTTACTTTATTTATGAAGGTTTTAATAAATGTAATGTAGGAGGAGAAAATTATGGCACAAGTTGCAGACTTACTGAATTTAAATATTTCAGAGAAGCTTCACCTCATTCAAGCCACCAAAAATATGAAAAAAAGTAGCAATGTTTGCAGGTACGCTACATGTCAAACTCAAATCTGTGTCTGTTCGATTTCAGTTTCGGTGCAATGAATCTTGAAGTAAATGCTTGACGAGCATTGACGTGTCATTAACTTGCATCATTCATGTGCTCACCTCACACTTGCATTTTGTATATGTTCACTATTCCCATCTGCAGTGTACTGACAAATGTCTGGTTTGGTCTATATGCTTTAGATGAGTTCATGCCACTGTCAGATGCTTGGCAGCCTGTTTTCTTTGGTCGTGTATCTTACAGTGAGATGTCACGGCAACGTATATGCACGATAACAAGAGATTCTGTTTTCTGTTTAAACTTTCATAACTTTCATATGATGGCCCTGAAATGAGAATATGTCCAGACAGGCAAATGACTTCAACTTCAAATTGTGATTTTTATTTATTTCCTTCAAGTGATCTGATTAGTGGCTATTTGAATTATTAAGGTATAGATTCAGATAATGGTTCTTAAGAGCACAGGGCACATTCTAAAAACTCTGCAGTTTGTCATGACACCAAGGAGCTTGAAAAACCTGACAGCATTGCAGGCAACCAATATCATTCGAGCAGTCAATGCTGTGAACTGATTCTCTGACTGAACACAGCTGAGCCGGGTACACCTGGGCTCTTTTGTGTGTGAAATAGAATTTGAATCGAAGCTTTAATAATTTACACATGCCTCAGTTGGGATTTTAATAGTTTTTTGAATATAAATATCAGATTCCTTGTTATTATGTAAAATAATTTCAAATTGAAAAAGAAAATTATGCCTCTGACAGCCAGTGACTGGAGACAATTGGTTTTCAGGTTGTCCCATTTTTGTGATTAAGATATCTCAGGAACAAATTTCTCCAAATTTGGTACGAACATTCAGTTGGTCTCATGGATGAATGATTAGAATTTTGAGGTCAAAGATCTCACAAAACATTTTCACTACTCATGAAGGCATTATCTTCACAACACTTCCAGAGACTCTTTTCACATTTGGCATAAATGTTCACTTAGACTCACAGATTAACTAATTCTTTTAGGAATATCCTAATTTACTGTGTGTTACCAAAATGTTTTTGGCATGCTAGACAAAGAATAATCCCGATTTGTCTTGTTCTTCTGTGTGACAGAGAAGCAGGTTGAGCTCATACATTTACTACATAAGACAATTTTTTTTCACTGTAATATTTCATTATGTGCTTGTCTCTGTTCCAGTCATGGTATCTGGGCAACTGAGAGAACTCTGGAGGACGGCTGATTGTCGTGGTGGTACTGTCCTGGAGGAAAACAAACAATGTTGTCAAGACATTGCCAAAGGAAAGATATATTCAGCTTTGTAGAAGAATATAACATATGGTCGTACATATATGTAAACATACAGTGAAATATATTTACATATGTGTACGCACCCAGAAGAGACAGCCTGGATGGAAGGAGTATGCTGCTCTCACTCAGCCGTTTTGCAGCCCCAGAATGTACTATGCTCTAAGACACTAAATGGTTCACACAAATGGCCACTGAGGTGAGTTGTGATTTTCTAGAGAAAGCAGTGGATTAAAGCAGATGTCTGGTCGGTCCAGATGAACTGTCGACCAGAATCAGGCCTCAACACATCAGATCCTGACAAGCCTATAACCTAACCGTGTCCCCAGGATGAGGCCTGTTTGCCTGGGATGGATGTCAGCCTTTAACCCTTCAACCTGGTTCTCTACACCGAGTCCAGTGTAAGGCCTCTACCCTGGGACAGACATAGACCTCATCCCCCCTCAACACCCAGAATGCCCCCTCCGCTGCAGGTGCTGCTTATAATATATGCAAATAAGCCTCCCTTATTTTTTGAAACAAATAGCAAGAGAGATCTTGCTGTTAATATGTAAAGTTTCTTTGCACTTTTTGATATGTTATTGATGCGTCTGAAGAAAATTTCGAGTTGAAACAGCGCAGTTTTTTTTCTCTCTTCCCACCAAAAGACAGAGGCTTTGTCTTTTTTATTGACAATCATCAGGCTGAAACCATAAAGTTGCTTTGCGAGGCTTTTGCGAGGCTCATGTTTTTAAGACTGATTGTGCTTTTCTATCATAAAACAATGAGTAATAGTGGAATATAAGAGCTATATTCATGCCTCCTCGAACACATCTCACAATGCTACAGCTGGACACCAGTATAGAGTCATCGGTAACACTGGGCCTTTAAAGGACAGAGGCCCAGTGTCCTGAGCAGAGGGCGTCTTTTTACACGAATTTCCTGCTGCTTCCGTCCCTTCAAATGCTGATGACATGACAGTACTTATCCAAGCGGCCAAAGGCACAATGTTTGGAGGACACATGCACCTGCCAGAAGGAAACTGCTCAGCAGAACTGAGAAAAGACAAAGACAAGACTAAAACCAGGATCATGTGGCTGCGCAGCCAACTGTAAAGTGGCTGCAAAACTGTGTTTGAAACTGTAGCACGTGGTGTGTATGTGTGTGTGTGTGTGTGTGTGTGTGTGTGTGTGT